TATTTCAACAAATTCCAGGTCCCAACCCCACTTAAATATCAAATGACTTACATTTGACCTGTATTGATATTAAATAACTGGTTGAATAGAAGATCACTGTGACTCTTCTAGCCTGAATTCCACCGCTACAGTCCTGTGGTGTTGTTTGATAGATGTAGTTAGTGAGGTTGGTGAACAGTTTGTAGATAACTGGTCAATGAAAGATGCCCTCCTATCTCAGCTACACGTCTGATGTCCTCATTACTCTCTGTCAGAAGTGTCAGGTCAGCTTTGTGCTGTATTAGGAAGTCAACCACACCTTTATGTCCGCTGAAGGCAGCCTTCAATACAGGCGTGTATCCAAGTCTCCCTCTACTGTTGATGTTAGAGGGAGATACGAGGTGTTGTACTATAGCAGTGTTCCCACCCTGACAGGCAAGATGAAGTAAACTATCACCAGATGTAGCCGCACTGTCAGGTCAGCGTGCTTTGACACAAGGAGGTCAAACACACTCTGATGTCCACTGACAGCTGCCACCATTGCTGGTGTCCAGCCATAAAGCCCTCTACTGTTGATGTTAGAAGGAGACAGGAGGTGTTGTACTATAGCAGTGTTCCCACCCTGACAGGCAAGATGAAGTAAACTATCACCATATGTATCCAGCAGTGTCAGGTCAGCTTGCTTGGACACAAGGAGGTCAAACACACTTTGATGTCCACTGACAGCTGCCTTCATCACTGCCGTCCAACCATGTCTCCCTCTACTGTTGATGTTCGAGGGAGACAGGAGGTGTTGTACTATAGCAGTGTTCCCACCCTGACAGGCAAGATGAAGTAAACTATCACCATATGTATCCAGCAGTGTCAGGTCAGTTTGTTTGGACTCAAGGAGGTCAAACACACTTTGATGTCCACTGACAGCTGCCTTCATCACTGCCGTCCAACCATGGCTCCCTCTACTGTTGATGTTAGAGGGAGACAGGAGGTGTTGTACTATAGCAGTGTTCCCACCCTGACAGGCAAGATGAAGTAAACTATTACCAGATGTAGACACCAGTGTCAGGTCAGCTTGCTTGGACACAAGGAGGTCAAACACACTTTGATGTCCATTGACAGCTGCCTTCATCACTGCCGTCCAACCATGTCTCCCTCTACTGTTGATGTTAGAGGGAGACAGGAGGTGTTGTACTATAGCAGTGTTCCCACCCTGACAGGCAAGATGAAGTAAACTATCACCATATGTATCCATAAGTGTCAGGTCAGTTTGTTTAGACACAAGGAGGTCAAACACACTTTGATGTCCTTTGACAGCTGCCTCCATCACTGCCGTCCAACCAAGGCTCCCTCTACTGTTGATGTTAGAGGGAGACAGGAGGTGATGTACTATAGCAGTGTTCCCACCCTGACAGGCAAGATGAAGTAAACTATCACCAGATGTAGACACCAGTGTCAGGTCAGCTTGCTTGGACACAAGGAGGTCAAACACACTTTGATGTCCATTGACAGCTGCCTTCATCACTGCCGTCCAACCATGTCTCCCTCTACTGTTGATGTTAGAGGGAGACAGGAGTTGATGTACTATAGCAGTGTTCCCACCCTGACAGGCAAGATGAAGTAAACTATCACCAGATGTACACACCAGTGTCAGGTCAGCTTGCTTGGACACAAGGAGGTCAAACACACTTTGATGTCCTTTGACAGCTGCCTTCATCACTGCCGTCCAACCACGTCTCCCTCTACTGTTGATGTTAGAGGGAGACAGGAGGTGATGTATTATAGCAGTGTTCCCACCCTGACGGGCAAGATGAAGTAAACTATCACCAGATGTATCCAGCAGTGTCAGGTCAGCTTGCTTGGACACAAGGAGGTCAAACACACTTTGATGTCCATTGACAGCTGCTGCCATTGCTGGTGTCCAGCCATGGTCTCCTCTACTGTTGATGTTAGAGGGTGACAGGAGGTATTGTACTATAGCAGTGTTCCCACCCTGACAGGCAAGATGAAGTAAACTATCACTAGATGTATCCAGCAGTGTCAGGTCAGCTTGCTTGGACACAAGGAGGTCAAACACACTTTGATGTCCATCGACAGCTGCTACCATTGCTGGTGTCCAGCCATGTCTCCCTCTACTGTTGATGTTAGAGGGAGACAGGAGGTGATGTAGTATAGCAGTGTTCCCACCACAACAGGCAAGATGAAGTAAACTATCACCAGCTGTATCCAGCAGTGTCAGGTCAGCTTTGTTGGACACAAGGAGGTCAAACACACTTTGTTGTCCATGGACAGCTGCTACCATTGCTGGTGTCCAGCCATACATCCCTCTACTGTTGATGTTAGAGGGAGACATGAGGTGTTGTACTATAGCAGTGTTCCCACCACGACAGGCAAGATGAAGTAAACTATCACCAAATGTAGCCACCAGTGTCAGGTCAGTGTGCTTGGACACAAGGAGGTCAAACACACTTTGATGTCCGCTGACAGCTGCCCTCATTGCTGGTGTCGTGCCATGTTGCCCTCTACTGTTGATGTTAGAGGGAGACAGGAGGTGTTGTACTATAGCAGTGTTCCCACCACAACAGGCAGCATGAAGTAAACTATCACCAGATGTAGCCACCAGTGTCAGGTCAGCTTGCTTGGACACAAGGAGGTCAAACACACTTTGATGTCCACTGACAGCTGCCCTCATTGCTGGTGTCGTGCCATATTGCCCTCTACTGTTGATGTTAGAGGGAGACAGGAGATGTTGTACTATAGCAGTGTTCCCACCACAACAGGCAAGATGAAGTAAACTATCACCAGATGTAGACACCAGTGTCAGGTCAGTTTGGTTGGTCACAAGGAGGTCAAACACACTTTGATGTCCACTGACAGCTGCTACCATTGCTGGTGTCCAGCCATGTTCTCCTCTGCTGTTGATGTTAGAGGGTGACAGGAGGTATTGTACTATAGCAGTGTTCCCACCCTGACAAGCAAGATGAAGTAAACTATCACCAGATGTACCCACCAGTGTCAGGTCAGCTTGCTTGGACACAAGGAGGTCAAACACACTTTGATGTCCACTGACAGCTGCATTCATTGCTGGTGTCCAGCCATGTCTCCCTCTACTGTTGATGTTAGAGGGAGACAGGAGATGTTTCACGACAGTCTTGTTGCCACCTTGACAGGCAAGATGAATAATTGTAGTACCATATTTATCTTTCAGATTCAAGTTTGATATTTTCTGTAGTAACTCAAAACAACCTTCTGATGCTGAAAGTGCTGCAGCCATGACAGGGGTTCTGCCATTCACATCAACAGAGTTTATAACATTATCTCCAGGTTTCCTAATTAACAAGGTTTTCAACGATTTTTCCATTCCTGTCTTACAAACCAGATGGAAGATGTTTTGTAACTTCTTGTCTCTAGTGTTAACATCAGCACCTTCCTGGAGCAGATACACTAGAATATCGGAGCTGCCATTTTCAGCAGCTTGCAACAAGAGTCTGTTCAGTGTCAATTGATGATCATGTTTTTCGGAGCGAGTGAAGAGCCATTTCAATACTGTTACATTGTTGCTTTGTGCACACCCTCCTATAGCTTGACTGATCGCCTCTTGAGAGAATTCTCCTCCAGTTGTGTGTTCTATTTCTGTAACTAGATGTGCATTATGTCCAAGAACAGCCCAGTACAGAAAACATTTTCCTTTCTCTCTTCTGTGAAACCAAAGTTCTTCTGTAGAATCAGTTTGATTATGCTGATGGGGGTGCTTTGTCCCATCACACTGAAGTTTGTTGAGCAGTTTGAAAGCTGTTGTGTCTCGTTTGAAAACTGGATGTGTCACTGATTGAGAAAACTTTCCTTGTTTAATAGAATGTGCAAACCTTGTGGTAAGTAGGTCATCATAATTATCTGAGACATATATCAGATGGAGATGATCATCAATTTTAGTTTCTTCAACCTTTTCACCTTGTACTCTTTCAAACAGAAAGTCATCACTACAGTTCTTCAAAACAAAGACTGGACTGATATTGAACAAGGCACAGGCACAAGCATCATAAATTGAAGAATGGGCAAAGCCAACAGTGTCTCCTCTTGAGAAGAATGTACCTCTAAAACTTTTAGCGGCTTTGTACATGCCTGAACGTGTAGCATTCGGCATCAGGTCTTGAACAGTTTTGACCACCCTGTCCATTTCCTTGTCTTCATCTCTACTGTCTAACCTGGTTAGGTTCAATTTGTCTTCACACAGCAGCATCAGAACCAAACTGGCAGATCTATCATTTCTATCTTCAAGTAACTGCTTTAGTTCTAATCTAAGATAAAACAGTGGTTCCTTGAAAAATGATTTTGCATTTTTAAAGAAAGAGGAAAATTCAAAACAAAGTTTACAAATGAGAGGAAATCCAAAGATGTTGGAACAGATTTCCAGCTCATTGTAATCTGGAATATGTTGCACAGAGCAGTCACCAAAAGCATGTTTATGTCGTTGAAATATTGACTTTTTCTCTTTATCAGAAAGCCTGTATTTATCTTGTTTTGTTAAGTCCACTACTGTCTGACCCTTGAACAATTTGAAACCCTCATACTGCAGTTTTGCAAGTCCATCATGGAAATTGTATGATTTTGATGTGAAGATAACATGAATGTCCTTTGTTTGAGATTCTGTTAAACTTTGCACTTTGTTTCTGGATTTTTCACCAGCATCACTGTTTTCCCTCAATTCTGACCCTTTCTCTTCTGCTCTCTGCTTTTGTTCTAAATGGGGGAGAAGATTGTTCAGAAAGTTTTTAACATGTGAAGTATTAGCAGATACTCCAACAGTACCAAACAAATCATCAACAATGAGAAATACTCTTGAGTAGGTACTAAGACAGCGGTCAAAGTCAAACTTCTTAAGGCTGTCCACAAACACGACCTCGTACCCCTTTTGTCTATACTGTGAACCCAGCATCAGAGCCATAGTTGTCTTGCCTTCTCCTGAAGCGCCACAGATAGTCACATGACCAAATTCCTTCAATTTCTGTTTCACTTTTCTGTAGGCTTCAGTTGGAGCAAAAAATCTTCCTCGCTTCATCTGTGCGTAAATCAAGGGTATCTGTGTAGGAAAAAAAATATTTAACATCCCAGCAAAGACTTCGATGTAAACAGAAGACGACAAACTATTCACTTATTTCTATTGTGTGTGCAAGCATACCACAATTGACACAAGGTGTGTAACAGTTGTTTTTTACACAGATACATCATTCGAGATTCATTAGTTTTGCAAAATACTGCTGTCAATACATCAGGAGTTTGTATACAACATTTTCTTCTATCACCCATTTCAATCCATAAGGGTGACAGGTGGGACCAGGGATGATGATCTTCTCTCTGAGAATGGTAACAGTCTTGAACAAGATCTGGTCACTTACTGACCCTTCCGCCATCGACACTCACCTCTCCCCAGTGTTCCTTGTCCTGCCCCTCCAGTGACAATGTTGAGAGTGTTGGCAACTTGGGCGTTCCCTGAACGCTGTTCACCTGTCAACATCAACCAGGAGGAAGAATCATCAGTAACCATGGTTACCAAAACCATAATTGATCAGTTGTTTCCTTTCCACATGGAATAACATTATTTCAGATAATTGCAGTGTGAAAGTGAGTGAGTTTAGTTTTACGTCGCACTCTGCAATATTCCAGCTGTATGGTGGCGGTCTGTAAATAACTGAGTCTGGACCAGACAATCCAGTGATCAACAGCATGAGCATCGATCTGCGCAATAGGGAACCGATGAGATGTGTAAATCAAACCAGCGAGCCTGACCACCCGATCCTGGTCGTCGCCTCTTATGACAAGCATGGACTACTGAAGATTCATACCCGGACCTTCACGGGTTTGCTGTGCAAAAGAGTCGGGTTTCTATCATTCAGAAGCAGGGCTCCAGATAATTTTTCAACATCAGGAGTACGTACTCCTTAAGAAAACCTTAAGAGTACATTTCAAGTACTGAATGGAATTTAATGCAGTATCAGTGATCTTGTGTTTCGTTTCATATATGCACCACAACATTGCTGCTCTTGTGTAAATGGGGCAATAAACAATACAATAATACTTTTTCAGATAAATACATCTGTAAATGATACAAAGACCATACACCATTGCTGTGAGGCGTATCTGCTACGTTTTCTAAATTATTTCCTACCGTATCGTGCATATGTTTTATCCGTACATACGCCGATACGGCCCTTATCTGGAGCCCTGCAGAAGACTTTCACTTTTCTCATGATGAGGAATAAATACATCAATGACAAGCTGAGCGAAAATACACCGATGTAACATTTGATATGGAATTTGAAAAAAGAAGAAGAACAGGCCCCCTTGGTGTGTTTCATTTCAAATAAATGTCACCTCAGATGACAAAATGGAGGACAACAGTGACACCCACCTGTACTTATTGAGATTGCTTGGCTCTCTGGAACCTCCTCGTACGCTGAACCTGCGGGTACCAAGTGACCTTCATGTTCCTCGTCTGGACTGGCCATGTCAACATCAGATTCTGAATGCTCACCAGAAGTGGCCATGTGACTTTCAGATGACTCACTGGAAGTGGCCTTGACCAGATGGTGTCCATTGTCCTTGTCTCTACTGGCCATCTCAAGTTCACCTCTTCACTTCAACGTGCTCTGTCTGTCAAAATGATGTGGAATCTAGACATGCTGTGACAATAAGTAAGCCGGTCTGACAACACTGTTCCAGGGCTCTGTAGCTATTATTGAATGACCTCATATATCTCATAAACAACCTGACTGGACTCATAGTTTGTATATATTTGATGATGAAAGAATTATAATGGCCGAGTTAAATTCCATCATATGTCTGGTGTCTATGATGTAAGTCAAAGTCAGGTAACCATGCAGCCACCCAGAATTATTCCCAGCAACAGTTCAAATTAACTACCTGGAAGATGGTTCATACCACATCAAACCAAGAATTTTCTTTTTTAATGTTCCTTGGATCCATTTTGGACTGCACGAAACTGCAACTTTTTCATAGATTGATGCTCATGATGTTGATCACTGGATTGTCTGGTCCAGACTCAATTATTTAGAGACTGCCACCATGTAGCTGGAATATTGCTGTGTGGCATGAAACAACAAAAAAACAAAACAAAAAAAACAAACAAACAGATCTAGTGTTTAGCTTTCTGAAGTGTCACAATTCATTAGTGGTTGTATCTTTTGTGAAATAAGAAACATGCTTGCCTAAGTTCAGGCCAAGACCACATACCGATGGTCTCCTCAGTTTTGGAGTGATGATGTTTACACAAGCAGAGGACGAGTGTCAATGTGGCCAAAACACAAATGTTAATCAAGGAAACTAATATTAAATAGTAGAAAACCCTAACTTATGAATGCAACGGTAACAGTGCAACTGTTAACTTCGTTAAAACCAGATTCCATTTCATTTTAAGTAATGGTCCAATGACCACAAACATCTTTCAAAATGGCCGCTCCAAGCTGGTTCAGTTTCAGCTTATTTGTCCATTGGAACATCATTGGGAAGTTTAGTTTCAGAAAAGTTAGAAACATGGTCAAGACTGTACTTCATATTATTGGAACATGTGTTCAAGTAAGCAGGACTCACTAAAACCCAGAACTCCCAACTATGGCTGAGTTACAATTGATAACTGAACTTTGCATTGCACCTCCGTCATTACCTAAATCTGAAAAAAAACCATCTATTAAGTGATTGTAAAATTATTGGTTGAACAAATTTAATGTGGGACTTTTTCTCAACTTCCAGAGATGCAATTTGTGATGATTATCGTTACATTAACAATATCACAATGTAACTTTGCACTGCATCTCTCCTGTAGATATGGAGATCCCCAAATTTTGCAAACAATCCATTCAAATGTCATCAAGTTCTTGGCTGAACAAAACTTCCCTTGGATTTGAAATATGTAAATTGAAGCAATTTTAAAAAAAAAAAATAAAATTGAAAATCGGAACCAAGCTTTGCTGACAGCTCTCTGTTACACAAATACTTTTCAAGTTCTCGGTTGAAAAACTTTCGAAGTTCAAATTCTTATATTGCTGTACTGGCTAGCGAACAGTTATCACCATATTTTAGTGGTATTTACGAAATTACTCCGCCTTTTGTTAAATTAATGAAACAGAATTAATTATGATACTTAATTAGCTATTCACCGATGTGTCCAGCCCGTTCACTGCCGCGGATCATGTTTTTATATAATGCAGCAGAAGGGAATCATGTCGGTACAAATGGATGATTTCTCACAAGTAACTGTAACAGTTATCGCCATTCAGAATTTCTCATGCCATTTGTGAATTAATATATATATTTATATCATAAAGTAACCCCGAATAATTCGACTTCTAAAGGTCGGTGCATAACAAATGTGGCTGAAAAAGCATATTGATAATGGCCATAAATAAGACTTTTCAGTTTGTCTGTCTTGCCACATGACCAATTAGACTGGGCTGTCATGAAGCTTCAACTCCATTTGTGTATTTCCAGTGAAGACATTGGTGAAGCACAAATGACCTTCTGACAAGACGAACAGGGCTTAACTTGCAGCCATGTTGAAACTGGGTGAACATTAAAGTGAGCTTTTAACAAGAGACACTGTATAATCAGTATCGTTCATTCAAAGTTTCGGCTTTCTAGTCATAGGTAGATAAAATAAGTCGATAATATGACTACAGGGTCAGCACAAATGACCTTCTGACAAGGACGAACAGGGCTTAACTTGCAGCCATGTTGAAACCTGGGTGAACATTAAAGTGAGCGTTTAACAAGAGACACTGTATAATCAGTATCGTTCATTCAAAGTTTCGGCTTTCTAGTCATAGGTAGATAAAATAAGTCGATAATATGACTACAGGGTCAGCACAAATGACCTTCTGACAAGGACGAACAGGGCTTAACTTGCAGCCATGTTGAAACCTGGGTGAACATTAAAGTGAGCGTTTAACAAGAGACACTGTATAATCAGTATCGTTCATTCAAAGTTTCGGCTTTCTAGTCATAGGTAGATAAAACAGGGTCAGCACAAATGACCTTCTGACAAGGACGAACAGAGCTTAAATTGCAGCCATTTTGAAATTGTGTGAACATATACAGCGTTTAATATGAGTATATTATGAGACACTGTAATCTGTATTCAAAGTTTCAGCTTTATACTCTTTGTGGTTTAAAATAGGTCGATATAATATGACGACAGGTGTACAATCGGACGGACACAAAATTGAGTCCAGTGGGACTGTCTGACCTCGACATTACTCACTAACTGAACATTAATTCGTGCCATTAATTCACCTGGGACGTTTGTTTGTAGATGCACAATCTTCGGCACACAGATTTGAAAAACACTGTAGTCACATTACCAGCTAATTACATACACACTACTGAACCTACTCACGACGCAAGAAGTCACGGCATACGTAGCACCCCTTCAAAGTGTTGCGAGATGGTGGACGGCGACTTGAAGCGAGCGGGTAGCACCCGGGTAACACGTACCCCTGCTATCAGTACTTCCGTTACGGTATGTCAGGCTGATTGTTAAAGACCTTTCAGTAGGAAAAGGAATACCGCTTTTAAACCAATCAGAACAAAGCATTCTTCAATACCATGATATACCCCAGATTGGAATTGGTGACCAGTAAGCATGCCGACCGTTGGAGGTGACTTGGGGATCCTGTGGTCACGTTGGTTGGCTGTTGTTTAATGCCGCACTCAGCAGTATTCCAGCTATATGGGGCGTTCGGTAAATAATCCAGCCTGGATCACACAATCCAGTGATTAACAGCATGAGCATCGATCTACGCAATTGGGATATGATGACGTGTCAACCTAATCAGAAAGCCTGACCACCTGATCCCGGTAGTTGCCTCGGACCTTCACGGGTGGTGAGGACGTTTGCTTTTACGCCGGTTTTAGCTATATTCCAGCAATATCACGACACCAGGCCCCGATTTCTGGAAACAAACTTAAGTCTGAGTTTTGACTTAAATCAGAGTTTTTACCCAAATTTGAGAAAACGCAGGAAATGCATTTCCAGAATAAACTGAAATCAATATAAAACTCAAACTTAGTAGACACTTTGAGTTTGATGGATAGATTACTTAAGTTGTTTGAGCTTTTTATTTAAAAAATGTAGTTGATTTAAAAATTCAGCTGTTTCAAATTGTCAAACTCAGTTTAAAATTTGAGAAAAACTTAAGTTTGTTTCGAGAAATGGTGGCCAGAAATGGGCTTCACGCATTGTACCCATATGGAACATCGAACTCGAGTCTTCGGCGTGATGAGCGAACGCTTTAACCACTAGGTTACCCCACCGCCCCTTCGCGGGTAGTGTGGTCACCGTCAGACTGCCTGACATGGCTGATTGCATGTTATCGTATGGAGATTGCGTAAGTGGATCTGTGCTTCATAATATCAATCACTGAAGTGTCGGGTCCAGACTGGGTTATTTACGCCGCCTACAGCTGAACCAGGTTGGCTGTTGCTTAGTGCCGCATAGCTCCATCGTGTCAGCATTGAGTTAAAATAACTATAGTTCTAATTTCATTTGGGTTATATTTTTAATTTTCACTATATTTGTTTCTTAATACCATAATCATATATGTTTTGCTAGTCTTCATTTGATAATGTAAAAAGGAATGCTTGCTACATCTGACTGGGCGATAAGAAGTGCTGTAAGGCTGGGGATTCTTGCTGGATTGAATATGGTTTTATGTTTAGCCATCGGAACATAACATTCCTTGGAGAGAGTATATTAAATTATAATAAAAGAGAATGAAACCCCTTGTAATAATTTGAGAATTCAATATGATATTTTCCAGTTTTTTCGCTTCCAGGCAGTTTTAATGGACTTCTGCTTGCCAAGCAAGGTTGTTTATGAGAGCACTAAGAACTGGATTTCATCAACTAAATCAACTTGAAATGCTGCTTACAGTAATGGAATATAAACAAGACAATACATGGTGGAAGAATGTAGAACTATGATCCTAAAGGTCGTGTAACGGGGAAAGACCCCCCGGTCAAATCTCCATTTTATCTGGAGCCAGTAAGTGGAAAACGTTGTGTTTAAAATGTGCTTCTTTCAATGTCAGTTTGACCCAGCAGGGGGGTACGTATCTTGGCCGCTGTAGGTTTGAATCATTTGAGAATTGATTGCAATATCTTTGCGTTAATGGAGATATGGGCTGTTGGTTTGTTGTTTAATGCCAAACAGCAACCTAGGGTTATAGAATGTGATAGCAAAAAAATGATAAGAAAGCAATCTTTCACCTATATGGCGGCCTCGGTAAATAATCCAGTCTGGATCACACAATCCAGTGATTAACAGAATGAACATCGATCTACGCAATTGGGATTCGATGACATGAGTCAGCCAGGTGAGAGAGCCTGACCACCCGATCCCGTTAGTCGCCTCGCATCTTCACGGGTGGTGAGGGCATTTGCTTTTACACACAACTTTTAGCTATATATTCCAGCAATATAACGATGGGGAACACCAGAAATGGGCTTCACGCATTGTACCTATATGGGACATCGAACTCGAGTCTTCGGCGTGATGATCGAACACTTTAACCACTGGGCTACGCCACCACCTCTTTGCGGGTAGTGTGGTCAGGTAGTCTGACTTGGCTGTTTGCCTGTCATCGCATGGTCATTGTGCACGTGGACCTGTGCTTCATAATATCAATCACTGAAGTGTCGGGTCCAGACTGGGTTATTTACGTCGCCTACAGCTGAACCAATGCAATGACAAACAAGTACATTCCAAAAACAAATCGATTTTATTACACGAAGTTACCTCACTCAGGCAGTTAGTTCGCTGGATTGTTTCATAGAAATGCATGTTTGATTTGTTGGCTTTTGTTGTTTTCATTGCATTGCATTTTGATTTTGAGTTCTCTTACACCATGTCCAACTCATCAAATTAAGTAGTTCTCCTGTCAAAAAGACTCAACCTGTTCTGTTTCATGTGCGAAACAGCTCTTTATTTCTTACCCATCTATAGACTAAACCTAGTCTGGTGGTTTATTTTCTTGCGTAATTTATATAAATGACCAGTCTAAAAACTATTATCCGGTTTGGACCAGTTCGCAGGTTTCAGGCGGCATGGCCGAATATTCAGGAATCCTTAGACTAACAACTAGTCTCTGAAATGAACATATTTTACTGAAAAAAGTCCATAGTAAAAAACAACAAAATATAATGAGAAGGAGCCCTGAGACTTTCTTCATTTTCAGAAGCTGAGGAAATCTAGACTTGCCACATTTTCTAGACTTGTGTGGGCTTTCTTGGATATATTTGCTTCAGGGTCTGTACGACAGCCTAAGGAATCCTCATCATTTTGAGTAATATAGGAGTAACACAGCAACGAGCGAGTATGTATTAAGTCTTTTATTTTGTATTTCATGTAAATCTAGATCCATAAGTATCAGTTGAGGCATGTTAAAGCGATTATAAGTTTGTTATTGTAATCTAAGAAGTAGGGCTGTTCAGCTTTCGATCAGGCATAATTCACGTACAGCACTTTATGGCGTATATTGCCTTAGACTTCTGTGACAGCATGTGATATTTAAAGTACTTTATGCTTTAGGTATTGTAGAAACACAGTTTGCACTCTTGTTAAATGCGTAAGTCATTTAGGTGTAAGTTTCATGTTCAAGTTGCTCTATTGAAGCGCTCATAAAATATGTGCAGTTTACATGCAGAATAAGCAATACGGAGTTGCTTCCCTTTAACTGTTACTCTGAAGTTTATAGAGTTTGTGCAGCCTATTTCAGTAATTTGGCCAATAATTGAGTGACAGGGTAAACCCTTTAGTAATCTGACCAATCCTTGTGTAATAGGGTAAACCCTTCAGTAATTGTAGCATCCCTTAATGCCGTAAACGTAGTATTTTTGTTATTTTAAATTTTGGCTAAATTTTCCTCCAATCGCCAGCGGCTGAAGGGATGGTGTAAATCCAGCGAGGGTCCGTGCAGGTAGCATGGCTGTAAGTCCCCATGGTTCATTGATGACAGATTATAAAATATACATATTGTTTGTAAACGTTTGTTCTCGTCACGATATGACTGAAACATTGCCAATGTGACATTAAATATTAACTCACTCACTCGGTTATTTATAGCTAGACTATTGCTGAGTGCGGTGTAAATAAGTGCTTGCTCGTCACGGCAAAGACCCGGTGCGATTCTCCATGATCATGATGACTGCATATGGCAAATGTAAAAAAGTGGTACGATGTATATATTTCAACTACTATATAATACATGTAGCGGAATTACAGACAGTGAAATTCTGTAATTTATTCTGTTGATAAACGTTTGCTGACATGGCTCAGGAAGTTCTGGTAGGGAAAACAAGGACTTTGGTACGGCAGGCTATATGACGGTAATCCAGGTAAATTTACATGTTTCGCCAATGAAGGGCAAAGTGCCTATCCAATTGGTTTCCTATCATGTTGTTATTCTTGTACATCACACTACCCCCACTCTTGGATTTGTGTACACAATACATTGTTTTCTTTATGCATTAATCCTTATCTTATTGGCTTCTGTAATTATATTGTTGGCTATGTAATTATATTTGTATCTTTATATTGTACATTCTCCCTCCTTGCATTGTGTAAACATGTTATATCTATATATATCACTCTTTGCACTGACTCAGTATTCACCTGATGAAGGAGCAAGAATTAGCTCTGAAACGTCGTGTAATATAAAAAAGAAGTTGTTATCCAGAAATGTGTCATGTATTCATGTTGTTGACTATCATTTGTAATGAATGCATGCTCAGTAACTTTACAGAATTTCGTGTGGGGGAAGAGCCAGAATCAACGCACATGCACATAGAATATCCAATTATGATCGACACACCAGTAAGCCACACCTAGACAAAGATATGTATGGAATCCCGAACTAAAGCAAAACTATGTAAATGTGTGGAATCAAGTCAGTCCTTGTGAAATTCAGAACTTTTACGAGCGCATCAACAGTGACGATGTACATGGGCGTTTAACTCTGAGTGAGTTAAACCATTCTCACAGCGGCATTATTTCAGCCATATCGTGACTTAAAATAGTTAATAATTCATTATAAATGTACAACTCTTAAAACCTTTCGACGAATGACAGTAAAACCAACTAGTAAATCACAGTATCAAGAAATAAAACTACCATCTCTCTCTCTTAAATAGGATTTTAGATTAGGACAATACAACATCAAAAGGGGCTGAGGATCGCCAACAACTGAAGGTAGATCACCACTCTAGGGACCATGGGGACTTACATACCATCATTGGCGATTGTACTGATATTTAGCCATAATAAACAACAAATATTCTATTATTAAAAACGTGTGTAGAGCTAAATTGACTTTGAAAGTTTTGGGACTTACGTTCCCTCTTAGGAGGATAATCATTTTACAGTACTTTAACCCCTTCGAGGCATACAGCCACTAACTATCTTAGTTGCTAAGTTATTCTACCAACTGTATAATATCATTTATCTATTCACAAA